AAAAAAAAAGAATTCAAAAGATGTATAGCATTAGGCAAATCTGTTGCACAAGACCTTTTTAAGTATTGAAGAGCAAAGATGTCAGCTCGAGGACTAAGGTGAGCCCAACCCAAGCCATGGTATTTTCAATAACCACATATACATGCGAAAGGTTGACAGTGAATAAGGGAGACCGTAGAAGAATTGATGTATTTGAGTTATGGTGTTGGAGGAGAATATTGAAAGTGTCACGGGCTGCCAAAGGAACAAACAGATTTGTGTTGGGAAGTGCAGCCAGAGTGCTCCTTGGAGGCCAGGATAGCCAAACTTCATCTCTCATACTTCTGACATTTTCTTAGGAGTAACCAGTTGCTGGTGAAGGATATCATGTTTGGTAAGGTGGAGAGTCAGGTAAAAAGAGAAAGACCTCCAGCGAGATGGGTTGGCAAAGTGGCAGCATCAATGGGCTCAAGCTTGGCAACAATTGTGAGGTTGGACCAAGACCGGGCAGTGTTTCGTTCTGTTATGCATAGGGTCACTGAGTCAGTACTGACTGGATGACAGCTAACAACAAAAACAACAGTCAGATCTGACAAAGGACATTGAACAACACTCAAAACTTGAACCACTTGCACCTTGAGAGCTTATTAGAAATGCATGACCTAAGGTCTCATCCCAGAGCTATGGAATCAGAATCTGCATTTTAATAAGATCCTCAGGTGATATATATGGAAATGCAAGTTTAAGAAACACTGCTTTAGAACAATGTTGTTGTTGTTAAGTGCAGTGGAGTCAATTCTGACCCATAGCAACCCTATATAGAGTTTCCAAGGAGCAGCTGGTGAGCTTGAACTACCAACCTTGCAGTTCAAATGACTTTGCAGTCTGGCGCATTAACCCACAGCACCACACTAATAGCTACTTCCATACCTAATTTGTTAATTGTCGTTTCCTTTACTGTTGTTTTTAGGTGCCATCCTAAAGTCAGTTCTCATAGGAACTTGTGTAGGGTTTCTGAGGAGCAGCTGGTGGGTTTGAACTTTCTACCTTGGGGTTAGCAGTCCATTGCTTATCCTAAAGCGCTACACCAGGAATCATTTCCTTTAGTCATTACTAATTGTAATGTACCATGGTTAAATGCTTGCCTGCTAACCAAAGTTTGGGTTCAAACCCAGTAGCAGCTCCCTAGGAGAAAAGACAGGGCCATCTTTTGCTATAAAGGTTTACAGCCTAGGAAACTGTCCTAAGGCTGCTATGAGCCATAATCAACTCAATGACACAAAACTACACTACCAATCTAATCAAGTTAAATTGCATGTTGCTTCTTTTTGTTGTTAAGTGCTGTCTCATTGATTTCAACTCATCATGACCCTGTGTAGGGTTTCCAAAGAACAACTGGTGGGTTTGAACTGCCACCGACTTTGTGGTTAGCAGTTCAGTGCTTATCCTTCAACAAGGAGACTATTTCTTCAGCTATTGTTTTGGAAAGATCTGGCTTTCCAATTCTAGTAATTGTTGTTGTTAAGTGCCATCGAGTTAGTTCTGACTTATAGCAAACCTGTATAGGGTTTCCAAGGAGTGGCTAGTGGGTTTGAACTGCTGCCCTTGTTGCTCAAACTGATCTTGCAGTTAAGCGCATTATCCTTCAGTGCCATACCAGGACTCCGAAACCTAATTAGAAAACCTAAAATAATCTATCCACTGTTTTTTTCTCCCCTATAAAATAACACTTAAGTGGTTTAACTACAAAATGAGTTAATTCTAACAGAATCATATGGTCATTGTAGCATAACTTAGATCATATACATGAAGAAAACTTGAAGGTTTGTCTTCTTGATATATTTCTTTTTCCCCTCAAGGTGATGTTTTACTATAGGTTTTCCAGAATAAGACAAATTAAATATAGTTAACAGAAGCTCCCAATCATTCCAGGTTAATGGACCAATAAATAAATAAATGAAGTTATGTCATGAAGATTGGAGTCCTGGTGTGGCACTGTGGGATAATGCACTGGACTGCAAGGTTAGTTTGAATTACAAGGTTGGTGGTTCAAGCTCACAAGTTGCTATTCGGAAATCCTATACAGGGTCGCTATGGATTGGAACCGACTCAATGGCCCTTAACAACAAATGTTATGGAGAACATGTTTCTCAATGTTTTGTCTTCCTACTTAAAACAAACTGTTATAAACAAATCAATTGTGATTCATGGTAACCTTATTGCATCAGAGTAGAACTGTGCTCTATAGCGTTTTTAATGGCTAAGTTTTTTTGAAACTAGATTGCCAGGTTTTTCTTCTGAGGCACCTCGAGGTAGAGTTGAACTGCCATCCTTTTGGTTATCATCTGAGCACATTAACCCTTTGCATACCCCAGGGATTCCTTACTTCTTGTAAGAGAATGCCAAATAGAAGCATCTACTAAAATATAGTACTTAAAGCATCTCTAAAAATACAAATATACTGTTGAAAAATCCTCAAAAAGAAGAAGTATAGTATCTGTGCTTGATTCTTTTTTGCATCACTATTATTCTGATGTCTACCATAAGCTTGAATATATCAATAATAGAAAACATTTTACTTTGTTGATATCAGTTTTAATTTAAACATCTCAATGCCTGTGAATCAAGAAATTGTTCACCTATTCCTGCTTCTTCACTATAGCCAACTATTGACTTCAATTCTTATAAGTGCTTCTGCTTATTATGTTGTTGTTGTTGTTAAGTGCTGTTGAGTCGATTCCAACCCATAGTGATCCTGTATACAGTTTCCAAGGAGCAGCTGGTGAGCTTGAAAGCTTGAACCACCGAAGTTGCAGTTCAAACGACTTTGAAGTCTGGCCCATTAGCCCACAGTGCCACACCAGCATTATACTGTGCTTAAAATAATTGAAAATGAAAATTACTAAAAAATGTGGTACAATATATAAGTAAATATATATATATATATATGTATTCCAGAAATTATCTTAAATTTAAGTGTCTAATCTTAAGATAAAGAGCTATAAGAAGTACACCATCAACACTCACTTTCTTACTGATGTAGTATGGGTCCAGGTCCTCCAAGGGCTCTGACACCATCCCTGGAGGAATGTCTCCATATATAAATGGAAGGTTCTTTCCAGCTTCCAAGTCACTGTTTGGCTTTGGTTTGTTCTCATCATCATTTTCTTGTTCTTTTTTGGGCTTCTTGGTTTTCTCTTCTGTAGCACGTTTCTCAATAGCAGCAAGAGATTCTCTAGTAAAAAGGCGGAAGCTTTCAGGTCCCGGGGGTACCAGCAGAGCCTGTGCCATCTTTTCATCCTGCACATTTAATCACGTTTAGCTTCTTGCATAAGAATTGCCTACAATAAAGACAAAAGGCAAGGCAGAAAAAAATGATATCGAGGGAATAAGAAAGTCAAGGTCTCCAGTAGTAAGTTTTTTTTGGATTTTGTTTTTAAACTGTGAGGACTAGGTAGTGCTTTTTGTGCTTCATCACATAATATGATTGAAAAACATCATCATTCAGTCTAATTTTCAATAAGCCTGCTCTATAAATGACCAGAAATCTATTCTAAGAACTTTGAGTCAAGTTGTAATTAAAAAGAACATATGAGTTGCCATTTAGTGGATTGAAGCTGATGGTGGCCCCATGTGTGCAGAATAGAACTGTACTCCATTGAGTTTTCAAGTCTGTGACCTTTTGGAAGCCAAACACCAGGTATTGCTTCCAAGGCACCGCTGGGTGAGTTTGAACAACCAGTCTTGTGCTTTAATGCTAACCATTTAAGCACCCAAGGGCTCATATTATTGTATACTTTTGGTAAAAGATTAATACCAATAATACTTGCCAGTGAAATTGCTTAATGATTCATTATGTCTCTCTTTTCCCCCCAGCACTTACTAACTGCTCAAATAGAAATACTGATGGCAGTGAGATTATTGTGATTCACTTCAAACTCATTGAATCTGAAGGTCATCAAACCAAATCAAGGTTCTTGTCAGCATCAGTAGCAAATGGTTCTTTAGACAAGGTCTGATCACAAGTTTTGCCAGGAACGTCTACCCACTTTTAGTAAACATTCCCTTTCTCTTTTTCAGTTTTTGCACTGGAATCCTTTGAGGTACCTTGAGCAGTGGAAACAGTTCATGCTCTTGGCTGCTAACCTGAAGCCTCAGAGGCATCTTGACACAAAGGCCTGGTAACCTATTTCCTAAAATGCAACCACTGAAAAGCCATGAAGCTGTTTTAATCTGACACTTATAGCATTACCAAGAGTCAAAAACAACTGGACACTTGTTCTGTCTGCTGTTCTTCAACTTTTCCACATTATCATATTCTTTCATAACTCAAACCATTTACCTTTAAATAAGCCTGCAGTAACTGCAATTGAACATGGAACTCCAGTGTTTGAGAAGTACAGAGAACAAGGTCTCATTCACACATGCCTACCACATAGCAGGGAGAGGAAAGGAAGGAAGGCAAACTTGTGGTGTAGCCCTACTTGATTTCCCAGGGAAGCAGGGACATCCTATCATGAGGAAATGTGACGTAACTGTTAAAAAAAAAAACATGAAATTGTTGTTGTTAACTGCTGTCGAGTGGGTTCCAACTCACAACAACTGTGTATAGGGTTCCTGAGGAGCAGCTGGTGGTTTTGAACTGCCAGCCTGTGGTTCACAGTCTAGTGCTGAGCCACACCACAAGTGCAACATAAATTATGAAGCATAATAAATATTTATTTTTGTTGTGCATTTTTCCAAAAATCATATTTTAAAAAGTTAAGATAGAAAACAGAAACAATGACAAAACAAAATACGATGAGTTCATCAGTCATCCCATCTAGTGGAAGGATGTACAACTCCTGCATCACGGTTATCTGTGGCATGCCCCCCCCCACCCCCGTCACCCTGTACATCTCCTGCCCACATAACTATTCTAGCCTTACAGTACTTTATCCCTAAATGTCTCTCTAGTTTGGGGTCAGTTATTTACATGGATATATTGAGCTTACAATGAGAACCTCTGTATCCTTTAGTCACAAAAAGAAAACTATATAACCAACTATATGTTTGCTGAGCTTGTGTCCAAAGTACTAGTTGTCTGATCTGTTCCAATGACTAAAGGGACTTTTTGTTGTTGTGTCTTTTTGTTAGAGTAATAATTGTATTATGGCAATGACATTGTTACTATATTTGTTGCTACTCTGAAGGTATGGTCTAAATAAATCATATGAGACGTTTGTGGAAAGAGTCCATTATCTTTTCATTTCCTTTTTTCCATGAACTTTTTGAAGCCCCTTTGTGAAATAGAACATCAGATTTGTCAAAAATTAAAAAATAATAAAAAAGATTAACAAAAATGTTAACCTTTTGCCCTGTTAATTCTGTGAAGGATCAGTTTTGTGATAAGGCAGCACATTTTTTATTTTTGTTTTTTTCATTCCATCAAACAGTACACGTAAATCAAGAATTTTCAGAAAAATATCTATTTAACTAAAAAATTAATATTTTGTGTTATACAAATTCACAGCAGATGGCAACACAGTAGAATGAATATTTTCAATAATGTTATATAAATTTTGATGGCCCTATAGTTGAATCAGCACTGGACTGTATGGCATAATTGCAACTTTTACACTTGGGAGTATGGAAGAGGTTTAAGCATTATATGTAAACCTTAAATGCCCAGAGATGTCTAATCCACCTTCCTCAGATTGCGTGTCTTGAATCGAAAGGACAAAGTTCTACAAAAGTGATAAATGAAAATGGAGCTGCTTGACCAACACATCTTTAAAAAATAAATAAATAACATGGTTGCTCTTTTAGGGGAAAAGAAAGGCTGCTTGTGTATATGAGCTTTTAGTTAAACTGACTCTGGTTTCCTTGTTGACCATGGAACACACAGCAGTTGGAATTATACTATTGCATATGTAAGTTTAGACTCTTGGCGTGGCACTGTAGCACGAGCACTGGACTGAGAATCCCAAGGTCGGCAGTTTAAAACCACCATCTGCTCTTCAGAAATGCTACAAAGTGTCAGTATGAGTCAGAACTGTCTCAACAGCACTTAACAATAACAATTTGTAAATTTTCCATGTCACTGAACTTGCCTGAAATTCAATGTACTTATAATACCTAATCATTTATATGCCAAAACTGTACCACAGAAAAATAATTATTCTTAACTTAACTAGGTCTCCTGGTTCCTAAATTTTCAAAATTATTTAGGCTATAAATGTCTAATGTAGAAATCTCTCAATGATCTTGAAAGGCCTTGATGACCCGGAGTAAGATACCATCACCAAATCGAGATTACTTATTTAAAAATAAATAAATACGTTTACCTTCTAGTTTATTTATCAATAGCACAGTAAACAAATTGAATCTAGGTCAAAAGGAAGTACAGAACTCTGTTTAATATCTCCATATTTCATTCTCTGTTTAATATCTCCATATTACAGAACTCTGTTTAATATCTCCATATTTCATTCTCTGTTTAATATCTCCATATTTCATTCTCTGTTTAATATCTCCATATTTCATTCTCTGTTTAATATCTCCATATTTCATTCTCCAAAACCAGAGAAGATAGACTATTGCTTGACTTGTTTTTCCCAATCGGGAGCTAGGGATTTGCTCAATATATGGAGAAGCTGAGATAGAAAAGAATTAAGTCAGCAGAGTTTCTTACAAACTTACATGCAGCTTTGTTGTTTAGAAACCTTTCATAGTTCTTTGGCAGTTCCATTTTAACTTCTTTCCTCTTTCTTGATCTTTGTGAGCTTATTATACAGAGATCTTACATAATTCCATATTCATATTAGAACAGACTTTAAAAAATTAATTCTTACCAATGCCTTGGTGTGGAAAATGTATTAGTAATGAATAGATGTGCATTATAATTTATTTAAATACATAAAATTTGATATGTCAAATTTTCTGTAGACTATAAGATAGTGGCACTGTAGGTCAGTTTGTACCATGAAGTAAGCAGTTCAAACACACCAGCCACTCCTCAGAAGACCCAATACAGGGTCACTCTAAGTCGGAAGCAGCTTGATGGCACTTAACAACAACAATATAAGATAGTTATAAGTCTGAATTCACTCTAGGTCAGTGGATCCCTACAAGAACAACATCAACAAAAATAATAATAAGATCGGCATATTTGTCTTCTAAACCAAAGAGACAATGTGTGAAAGTCAATGTGTCTCTCTATTAATAAGTAGGACATGGTTCAAAATGGAACCAGAGGATTTCAAAACTGAAAGGGATCTCAGAATCTTTTACTCAAGAAATATTTATTAGGAGTGCTGTAGGAGGAGGACTCAACTGCAAGGTCTGGTGTGGCACTGTGGGCTAATGCACTAGACTGCAAAGTCAGTTTGAACCACAAGATTGGCAGTTCAAGTTCACCAGCTGCTCCTTGGAAACCAGGTTGCTTTGGTTCAGAACTGACTTAATGGCACTTAATAACTATATGTTTCAACCCTCTAATTGGTCACAGGTATCCATGTCCTTGACCTCAATGTATTGTCTAGTAGGAAAAGCATATTTATACAAATAATTACAGTACAATTATATACTGTAGGTGATTGCGTGGGGTACATAAAAGGGAGCAATTCATTCTACACAGGAAGAGTGGAAGGTTCCATGATGTGGCGATATTGAAGTTGATTTTGTAGACTAACTAGAATTTGACAGTGGGATGCTTATAGTAGTAAGGGCAAGATTGCTGGAAAGACATAGTATTAGAGACTTGTTAAGAAAAGGAGCCACAGTAGTGCAGTGGGTTACAATGTCAGGGAATTGTGAACATTCTCCTTTGACGTTATATGAAAACTCTACCAATGGTAATTGCTTAATTTGTTAATGGACTTTTGATCTAGCTTGCCCTTTGAATGAATCTTTTAATCATGTGTTATTTTGTACGATTATGCATGGATCATTGGAAAATATTGCCATACTATTATGCAGATCTTTTAGATTTTGAAAAAATTTGTTATCTAGTATCTAAAAATCACATTTGTTAATATCACCACTGATCTCACCAGAAAATCATTGTATTGGAAGGATGTCAAGCTCCCAGTGGCAGATAAATTTTTTACAAATTCTCAATGTCTACTTGAAAGCTCAAATTTTATCACTGGCAACCAATGTGTCACTTGTTTTTTCTGAAGTGACAGATTTCTTTTGTTCATTTTTTAGAAAATATCTGCCAAACACCAAAGTCTGAATAACTATAGTTTGTCATTCTTTCAAGTGAAAATAGTTTTCCTTGAAGAAATAAGTGGCTCGTTCAGTTCCTG